GTACTAAAAATAGTTCAAACATTGGAAAACAATTAAAAATTTCACGCACCAGCGCACGAAAGCTGAATTAGAAACCTCGAAGAGTGAACATCTTTCCGTGATCCCCGAGTTAATAGGTTACCCGCCAGAATTTTCACGAGGCCGTAGGTGATACTCAAGAGCGCGGGAACGCTGAATTTGAATAGGCAAGGTTGAGCGTGGGCAGGGGGTCATTACTCTAAAATTTCAGCCTCCTAGACTCCGTGCTTTCCGAGATATTAATTTACCCGTAAAAAACTTTCACAGGGCCATAAGTGTTATCCGCGGGTACAGGGAAGCTGAATTTAAATTTGCGGGGTCACACGTAGGTGGGAACGTTCCCCCTAAACTTTCAGCTTCCTAGCTTTTGTGGTTCCCGGACTGAAAGTTGCGGACAAGTTGCTGCGAACACACACACACACAAACACACACAGACAACTCTGTGACAATAGGCGTTTTGTACTGCTGTTACGCAGTACAAAATGCACAAAAATTATGTGCCAAACTATTACTGCGGCAACGCAGGCCGAAAAGAAAGAGCTGTTCGTTTGGTGGGCATGAAAGAGAAAACAGATGGACAAAGCGGATTTTTGAATGGTACCTATACAATGTTAAGCGAACAATGAGAAGATGGTTTATAAAGATGAAACGATATGTTTAAACGCTTACAAGGAGGCTTAAACGCAAGAGGTTCAAGCCGAGGAAAACGCGAAACTACACACGCAGTTTTATCAACAGATATGGAGCCGAGTGCCGGAAAAATAGTCCAAAAAATTACCTGTAGTGGGTTTACCAAAAAGAGTTCCAGTAGCGGTCGGAGCCGGGGTACTGCCGAACAAAGTTGGCGTTGCCGTTGTTGCAGTAGTACCACCACCGAAAAGGATTGGAGTGGCAGTCGAAGTGGTTGTTGTCTGAGTGGCGCTACCAAAAAGACTACCTGAAATTTTTTTCCGTCAAAAAATAAAAGGGAAAAAATAATTTTTGAAGAAACCACCGAAAAAAAGGCAAATTTCCGTCAAGAATAAACCACAGGTACGGGGAAGAAATAATTTTTAAAGAAACCCTCGAAAAAATGCAAAAAAAATAAATCATTTGTAAGGGGGGAAAGCAATTTTTTAAATACGCAAATTGGAAAAATACAGCCATTTTCTTTCAGCAGAAAAACATACGAAAAGCCGGTAAAAAACTGCCAAAAAAAGTATGCAAGTAATTAAGTAAAGACAGATGCTATTATAGAAAGACTGATAAAGGGCCGAAGTAGTGGTCAAGGGGCATACCCATAAAATTTTAGCTCCCTAACTCAGCGGTTCCCGAGATAATAATTTTACCTGAAAAACTTTTACGGGGCTGTACGCGTTATCCGCGGGTACGAGAAAGCTGAATTTAAATTTGTCACGTCCCAGGTTAGGTCCGCAGCAGTTATGTCGCATTCTGATGTGAAGACGAGAAATTTTTTTCGGGTAAGCTGCTAACTCGAGAATTTGAAAAGCTAGAAGACTGTAATTTTAAGAGGATATTCACCGTCCACCTATGTCTCATTGAGCTCAAACCCAGACACCGGGTTCAGTTCCCCTTTGCCCACATCCACCTGTTAAAGTGGGTTCCGGCCAAAACATGTAAGGAAAACAAAAAATTAAAATTATCATCCGAAACGTTCAATAAGTTTTTCTCCGCTCAAGAAACTGCCGATTTTTTAATAAAAATCTAGCAACATCGCAAAACGCAGCCTTTTTTTCCCCCTCCTAATTTTAATCCCGCGACAAATTTGAGCTTTTCCTTAAGTCATTTTGAGGGGATATGGAATTTTTTCCCATCAACTACTGCTTAGTATCACTGCTGGACAAATTAAGTATTGATTCTACCGTGAATAAAAATTGCTTTTTGTTTGAAACTTCCCTCCCC